AAATTCATCAACATCCTTAGACCGAGATCTTAGCTTTGAATGCTCGAATCTATCATGGATTTGAAGAAGCTCAAACAGGCCGAGAATTCCCGGCCATTTTCCGGCCACATTCGACCACATTTTGGGCTCTATTCAGGTAAAATCGTAATCTTGTCACTCCCAGCTTCAATTTGGTATATTTTATATGAAAGTTGGTTGTGAAATAGATCTGAAAGGGAGTCGGAAAGTTAATGTTTGATCTAGGTAACTGGAGATGACGAGAAGTCTGTCGAGAGTGGTCGTTGAGCATGACGAGGACGAGAAAGAGAAGATAGTCTTAGCTAGTCCCATAGTTATTGGGGGGTCTCGCTAAGACCTCTTAGTGAAGGGTTTTGTCCATGCTAGTCCCCTTTAGTCTCATTAATGTTAGTCCCAGTATGGAACAAACACAGTATTGGACTAATATTTAGTCCAGTCCAGTCCAGTCCAACTTAGTGAGGGCAAACAAACGCCCCCTAGATTTCTTTGAGATAAGTCTGGCCCAAAGAAAGATAGCCGAATCCTAAATTCCAAATCATACTATAGCTCTCTGGAAACAAGGGTTGGATTCGATTGAGTCCTAGATTGAATAGAAATGTCAAACATCAGGGCAAATATTGATTAAATTAGGAATATTCCAAGGATTAATATTCGTGGCTAATCAGGATTAGAACGAATAAGAGATGAAGAAGGGACTAGGTTCCAAGTCCTAAGACAAGGAGGAGTGGTTGAGCTCTATGCAAAGATTGGAATGGATTAATACCGAGGAAATACAGTCAGAGTGGGACTCTACTTCGGCGTTAGGTGAAAATCACTCTTATAAATAGAAGAGGGTCTGCAACACTCAAAGCCTCTTCAAATCAATACACAAATATGCCAATTTATTATTCTACGAAATCTTCTTATTTTTTAGAAAGCAACTGACCTTCCTAACTTTGTCAAGCATATCTCTCAGTTTGTATAAATAACTATGCGTTTGACAATTGTTGACATCTCTCAATTTGTATAAACAGCTATGGGGTTGTAAAGTCAAGCGAGCGAGGAGCATACGAGGAGTATCTCACTTTGTAGAAACAGCTCTACCCCAAGTTTGGCTGACTACCTAACCAAGTCTCTATCAACAAGGAATCTGAGTCCTTGCTGGATGATGTCACCTCATTTGCTTTCTTGGCGAAGTGAGGTGTTACCAAGTTACGTTGTCCAACACATTGAAAATTGAACCTTTTTTATGATTGGATATTCACAAGTGCATTTTTGAGTTCGACATTCCAACGACTGAACTATATTTACAGACAAGACACTTATCTCTTTTGAGTATTTGTGTCCATCCAAATTCGGCGCACTTATATTTGCACAAATATTATTAAAGTAGTCAATCCCGGTGCAGACCATTCATGAACTTCCTAATGACTAGTAGCCTTGTCTTCAGGCGCTACAACCCAGAGGCTGAGACGAGATAAGAAGTCAACAACGCATTTGACATCACCACCACCACATTCATTTACTCATTGACTGAGCTCAATCGACGAGTTAGCACGCCCCCATTCAAACCACTTATGTAGTTAACTCATTAGCTATTCGATTTGCACGCCACGTAGACTTGGTAATTTTTAGGGTCAATTGTATTAAAAAATGTGTCCCTGATCATGACCCGTCAATTATATCCTTTCCATCTTTGAATATTTTATAATGAACTTAAAAGCAATATAATGATTAGACATAGTTTTACTCCCCTCTTCTTCACTTCCTACATTTCCTCATTTCATTCATAACCATTATTAATATTCTTTTTTTTTAATTTAAACACAGTTTTATTTTCTTTAAAAGAAAATATGTATATAATTATTACACATTTTTTTTTATCTCAAAGATAATTGCATTACAAAGAGAAGAATACAAAGGCAGAACAGGGAAAGCGGCCAAAGCCAGCTTCCACGGCCAAGGATAGAACAGAGAAACCCAGGGAGACAAGGAACTTAAGAGTGGTTAAGAAGACAACAGCTAACTGAGTCACCACTCAAGAGAACCAAGCAACCCAAAACAAAAATGAATGAGGGCAGGGTAGACCATCAATGGATAAAATATAAACTAGAGCCGCTGGGGGTTACTTCCGAACACATCCCTCTTCTACAATGCGGATTTACCTATTTTTCTTCACTCGAACCTCAGAAATCAAACTTTCACTATTGATCGTCGCCTGCAACTGCTCCATCATCTCCGTCTACAACAGCTGGTGAGAGCTTTCGTTTTCACTTCGTTAATAGTTTCAATGCTTTCCTGATCTTACTCCTCAACTTTACTGATTCATTGACTCCATTCGAAGCTTAATCTGATTCCTCGAGCCCAAAACCCATCTCTAAAACTAAAAGCCCCTTTTGCTTTTCTATTTTTAACTTTTTGTATAAATAATAATATTATTGTATTTTGTATATTATAATATATTATTGTGCAGTGGTCTGGATATTTAGATTATAATAATTTTATGTATATGCTTTCATGATGCGTTTTTTTATCTCTCAAGTTAACATAAATTTCTCATGTAATAGTCTGTCTCTATGGTGGATTGACTCTATGTTTGTTAATTTAGGAAAATAAATCATCCTGATAATCATGCGAATGATAATGCTAATCTGGATGAAATTGTTGAAAATTTAAATGCTTATTTTATAATGTTTTAGATATATTTATTTATTTATATATATTTTTAATTGTCGTATCCCTAACGTATCATATCTTCATTTTTAGAAATTTGATGTGTCCCCCTATCATATCGTGTCGTATCCCCATATCTGTGTCCGTGTCCATGCATCCTAGATTATCTATAGCCGTCTTCAAAGATAAATTTCATGAGTATGATACATATCTCATGCTAAGTTTTATTACGAACAACTAGAGTGTCATGTCAACATTGTGAACAAGCTCTTAACCAACACATCATATCATGCGAATATTGACCTTAAAAAACCATATCATGCCAACGTTGTGAACAATCTCTAAACCAAGTAGCAATGCTAGAAACAAACGCAACAACAGTTGCTGCCTCAGTCGCTGGTCGTATAAAAGCAGCGACTGCAGCAGCGTTTGTTGATAGAACTATGTGATTGACAACCTTGACCTTTCTAACTTCATCAAGCATATCTCTTAGTTTGTGTACAACTATGTGATTGACAACCAGCGATATATCTCAGTTTGTATAAACAGTTCTGGGGCCGTAGAGTCAAGTGAGCAAAAAGCATCTCACTTTGTAGAAACAACTGTACCCCAAGTTCGGCTCACTACCTAACCAAGTTTCTACCAACAAGGAATCTCTGGGTCCTTGTTGGAAGATGTCACCTCATTAGCTTTCTTTGCAAAGTGAGGTGTTACCAAGTTATGTTGTTCGACACATTGAAAACCGAACCTATTTAATGATTTGATACTCACAAGTGCATTTTTGAGTTCAACATTCTGACGGCTGAACTGTATTTACAAACAAGACACTTATCTCTTTTGAGTATTTGTGTAAATACCAATTTGGCGCACTTATATTTGCACAAATATTATTAAAGCAGCTGAGCTCGATGCAGACCATTCATGAACTTCCTAGTGACCAGTAGCTTTGTCTTCAGGCACTAAAACCCAGGGAGACAAGGAACTTAAGAGTGGTTAAGAAGACAACAGCTAGCTGAGTCACCACTCCAGAGAACCAAGCAACCCAAAACAAAAATGAATGAGGGCAGGGTAGACCATCAACGGATAAAATATAAACTAGAGCCGCTGGGGGTTACTTCCGAACACTTCCCTCTTCTACAATGCGGATTTACCTATTTTTCTTCACTCGAACCTCAGAAATCAGACTTTCACTATTGACCGTCGCCTGCAACTACTCCGTCGTCTCCGTCTGCAACAGCTGGTGAGAGCTTTCGTTTTCACTTCGTTAATAGTTTCGATGCTTTCCTGATCTTACTCCTCAACTTTACTGATTCAATGACTGCATTCGAAGCTTAATCTGATTCCCCGAGGCCAAAACCCATCTCTAAAACTAAAAGTCCCTTTTGCTTTTCTATTTTTAACTTTTTGTATAAATAATAATATTATTGTATTTTGTATATTATAATATATTATTGTGCAGTGGTCTGGATATTTAGATTATAATAATTTTATGTCTATGCTTTCATGATGCATTTTTTATCTCTTAAGTTAACATAAATTTCTCATGTAATAGTCTGTCTCTATGGTGGATTGACTCTATGTTTGTTAATTTAGGAAAATAAATCACCCTAATAATCATGCGAATGATAATGCTAATCTGGATGAGATTGTTGAAAATTTAAATGCTTATTTTATAATGTCTTAGATATATTTATTTATTTATTTATATTTTTAATTGCCGTATCCCTAACGTATTGTGTCTTCATTTTTAGAAATTTGATGTGTCCCCATATCATATCGTGTCGTATCCCCGTATCTCTATCCGTATCCGTGTCCATGCATCCTAGATTATCTATAGCAGTCTTCAAAGATAAATTTCATGAGTATGATACATATCTCATCCTAAGTTTTATTGAGAACAACTAGAGTGTCATGTCAACATTGTGAACAAGCTCTTAACCAACACATCATATCATGCGAATATTGACCTTAAAAAACCATATCATGCCAACGTTGTGAACAATCTCTCTAATCCAAGTAGCAATGCTAGCAACAAACGCAACAACACTTGCTGCCTCAGTCGCTGGTCGTATGAAAGCAGCGACTGCAGCAGCGTTTGTTGATAGAATTTGTTCCTTAACAAGTGTTCTACATTTCTAACAACCAAGACTCAAGAAGCAAAATGAAAAATGGGATAACATTGCTGACACAAGCACGAGATCATCTTACCTAGCCTTGTTGATACTCCACAATCGAGAAAACCATGCTGGTCAGCCTGGTCAATATCCTTCAAATATCAACCCTTCCAAATAGTTTTCAAGTCTCATCAAATCCCAGTACAGCTTTCTAAGTTGTCTCAAAAGAGATGTTCCTTTCCATTTATTATTTGTGTTCCTTTCCATTTATCATATAAATATCAACCACAACTAATTCGTAGATGCAAAATTCGAGCAAGCAAAAGATTTCGCACACAAAGAAACTATATTCAGAACATAGCACAACAACTCTCTGCCACCATAACAAACACAAGGGATCAAAATTGAATCCAACCCTAGACATAAAACCGAAAAGTAAACCAACTCACTAGTCTATTCGTCGTTGTTGTTCCTCTTCCTCCTGTTCTTGTTGATCAAATGCTCCGGAACCGGCTGGAGGAGCTTCCGATCCTTCGTCTTTGCAATCTTTTTTATCGTTTTCGGGTTCGAAATCACCTGCAGCCTAGTACCAGACCTCAAAATGTTCTCCTTCTTCTTCTTCTCCCTCTCCTCCCTCTTCCTCCTCTTCTCCTCCTTGTTCTTCTTGATCTCGTCCTTCAGCTCCGTCATTCTCTCTCTGTAGGCCCTCTTTATCTTCTTCGCCTTCGCCCTCTCCTCGAAAGTTGTCCCTTTCGGCTGACTTGCGCCGCCGACGCCCTCTGCTTCCTCGGCTGCTTCCATTTCCGGCCGGAGACTTTTCCTGCGATCACGCCGTCGTAGCTCGGCTTCCCGATGATGGGCTTGTCAGGATTGTCCGAGGAGGGTACCGCCGACCGCTTCGCCGGAGGTGGATATGAGTCGTCGATATCCATTGCAGCGCCGCCAAAGATAGAGGCATCTTCGTCGGCGGATTGGGGGTTTCTCTAGCGCTTGTAGGTTTTGCCACCGAAGCCCTCGTCTAGGCAGCGGAAATCGATTGTGCAGGCCATGGATGACGGGGCTTGTTTGATTTACAGTCCTAGGTCTTTCACTCATGTGCTGGCTCTAACACTGGATTTTCCTATTTATATGCAACTAATAAAAAAAATAAAAATTGCAATCACAAAACCTCCATGTCATACGGGTCCTTGACCACATAATGGTCACGTTTTAGGACAGCGTGAAAAATAATGGCGTTCATACATTTTACTGCAGTTCAATTCTCCGTCAATTCCTTTCTTTTTCTTTCTAATAACTAATTATGATAATAATTTTAAAAGATGCAATTAATTAATAGTAATGGTATAATTCAATTTATCAAAAATTGATAAATGTGACTCGAGACAAATCGCAAACCCTTGAGGGCCCAAATAAAAATTGATTGGAATTCATTCTCGAGTCAAAGATATCAATATATGGTTACAAGATGAATCAATTACTTGCTTCGTTTAAATTCAAATTTCTTTACCACTGACTCTTTTTCAAATACCTTATTACCACAATGGCCATTTTCGTTTTAGCCTTTATTCTATGGGTAAATTTCTCTATAAGAAAAAAAAATAGATGGAATTTGGTTAAAAGGGGTTATGTGTAAATGAATTAAAACCTCAAGGAATATTGATGCAATGTCTCAAACGTGAGATTTTTTATGAAAACTTAATAAACTTTAGGTTTGTTAGCGAAATTAACCCTACTTTAATATGAAGGATAGCAAAAATCTTAGGATGCTTTCAAAGAACAGTTGCATAAATCACTTGAAACATGGGTTGGTCAAATATTAATGAGTTTTCAATGGATATGATGAAGGAAATGGAATCTATGAACGTGCTTGAAACAGATTGAATTCCGAAAAGTGAATTATGCCGGGAAGAAGTTCAAGTAACTTGAGTTCTTTACCATTCTCTTTAGTAGAGCGAAATCTCAGCAAGTGCAATCTTTCTGATGATGCATTTCCTAAGGATTTGAGTAATCTAGCTATCCTCACTGCAAAGACTCTTACTAAATAGCAATCCAATTTGTAGCCTACCGATTTTCGTCAAGTGTTTGATAAGGCTCGATGAACTCTCTTTCTGGGGATGTAAGAGGCTCAAATCACTTGTGGGGTTGCCGAAAGTACACAAACTGATGACCGATGTGGATGACAACCGCAATCTAGTTGAGTGGTACTACGATTACAAATTGAAACCTACTGGAAGAGCTGATGCTAACTGATCAACCTTTTGGGGTTGCACAACTTGGAATCCATGCCAAATATTCAAATGCACAAACCCTTCCGCAATTCTTAAGATGTTGATTGGAGTCTCCTCCAGGTGCATCTCACTCTCTTTGATAAATATGTCATTGGAATTGGAAAGAATTGACTAGTTAATGTTATGGTGTCCATAGTACATGAATAGGGATTGCATCAACATGATATATTCAGCACATTTTTTGCTGGGAACGGCCAAGAGGACACAACTATGGACCGTAGGAGAGGAAATCACGGCTTAGAAAGACCTTTCATCAGTAGATCCGTAGGCTGACCCAATGATGGAATGAATTGTACTTTATGTGTGCCAAGCTTAACATGTTCACAAACAAAATGATAATTCAACACAATATGCTTCGTGTGAGCAAGAAAAACCGGATTAGCTACCATGTAGGTGGTGATGAGATTATCACAGAAAATATAGATGGGCATTGAAATCACACACCGGACTTCACGATGTAAGTAGGAGACCTAAAGAGATTCAGTACAAGTGTGAGCAAGAGCATGATACTCATACTCCACACTAGAACGTCGTACAATAGGCTGCTATGTGGACCAACAAGTGTATGGATGACCAGCCCAATCTGCATGAGAGTACCCAAGTAGAAACAAGTGGACCACAGTGAGGCCGAAACTAAGACCAATTTTAACGAACCCTTTTAACATAATGAAGAACACGTTCAGCAGCAACCAAATGAGTCATGGTGGGACGAGCCATAAACTGAGCAATATGATTGACCGCAAAGGCAATACTAGGATGAGTTAAAGTGAGATATGTAAGTGACCTGAGAAGGTGACGAAACTCAGTGGGATCAGAAAGAGGAGTACCAACCTGATTAGGAATTTGTGACAATGTAAATTGACGTTTCATGAATTTACATTGCAGGGCATATTGTCTTAATGATTTGATTATGATCAAATTGATTGCAATATATTTATGTTGAAACATACTTTCTATTTATTGAAATAATAATTGCCATTATCATTATAGTTTGATCTATTTATCCCCTTTCACCTATTTACAGAATATCCAATGAAATTTATTTGAAGCTGCAACATCTCTTATCACATAACACAACGGTGTCATCTCCACGCTTGCAGCAAAGACGGTACCAAAAAAATCAAAGCAGGTCCCATAAGAAAAAACTGTGAAAAAAGGCTACAAGTGATGCATTTTCCACTGGAAATGAGCATCAACAAATTAATGCAGGATAGAGACATGGAGGTATGGGAATATGGTTTGAACTTTCTATTGTTTAAATTTTGGTAAGAAAAGCAAATTTAAACAGATCCATCCACATGGCAACGGAACGCAAAGTCGGGGGGTTTAACATTTGATGTTATCTTGACTGAGCTTCTGGATTCAATCTAATTGGATATGATTATTTTTTTCCTTGCTTTTTGTCAATGTAAGTATAGTTGAATTACTACAAACTATAATGCAATTTACACTTCAACTTATATTCTCATTTTAAAGACTCTGTTTGCAGCTATGGAAACAAGTATTATTGTTGTGGCGGTATTGAATTGACAAAGCAGTTTGCAGGTGGAATGGAAATTGCAAGATAAATGTCAAGAAAATAGTAGATATTATACTATAAAACCACAAACCCTATATACTCATCTTAGCAACTTTTAATAAGATAAACTAGTAATATGATAGAAGCGAGTTGTATTTTTTTGTAGTACTGTAAGGAAAAGATGATATATATGAATTCTAACTCTTCAACTCAATGTCATTGTTTATTTTGTTATCTTACACTATTATTTGGTTCATTGATGTATGTCTTCATTTATTCTTTACTAACCTCTTCGAATGACATTTTCGAGCGTGCAAGGACCTTTTCTTTTAGGGGTGTGCTATCCACACACTTCAAATTATTTCTCACACATCTCTTGTTAATTTATGTCTGTTGATCTTCTTCAATTCATTTGATCTGACGATCGAAAATTAGAAACGTATGTAAAAAGTAAAATGGAATGTGTAGATATCACATCCCTTCTTTTATCACACATTTTATACACAACTTAATTATGTTTTATTTCCTTTCTATTTGCATTTGCAACTATAGGTGCAATTTTATTTTTAGGACCCTGCCACCAGCAGCCAGCCATGACTTAAAAGAAAAGCTTTTTGGGTCAATGCATGGGAACACGACCCATTTTATAATTGTTTGTGAATCTTCCTGGAAGTAGATAGGAAGGACCCCATACAACCTTTTGTTTTAATCTCTGCCACTAGCGGTCGGCCATGATTTATAGAAAGACTTTTTGGGTCAAGCATGGGAACAACCCTTTTTAAAAAGCATGGGAACAACCCTTTTTATAATTGTTTGTAAATTTTCCAGTAGATAGGAATAACCCAATTAAATATCCCCTGCACAGAGACATTTGCATTGCATCTAGCAAAGACCAGTTCTTTTGGTTTGAACATCGATCCCCATCAATGGCTCTCGTGAGAACATCTCAAGGAACCTCCTCTGATTCCAAAAAATTTCGGGGTTATCGCTACGACGTGTTCTTGAGCTTCAGAGGCGAAGACACCCGCAAGACGTTTACCGACCACCTCTACACAGCCTTGAACAATGCAGGATTTCTCACGTTCCGAGACGACGATGAACTTGAGAGAGGAGAAGATATAAAGCCAGGACTGCTGAAAGCGATCCAGCTGTCACGAACTTCTGTTGTCGTGTTTTCGAAAGATTACGCGTCATCCAGGTGGTGTCTTGATGAGCTTGTGCTGATCCTTGAACGGAAGGAGACCACCTCGGACCATGTAGTTTTACCAGTCTTCTACGATGTTGATCCGTCCCACGTGAGGAAGCAGACAGGAAGTGTTGGAAAAGCATTTGCTAGAAGCCAGAAAAATCAGTCGCCGGAAAAGGTGGAGGGATGGAGGAAGGCACTTGCAGAGATTGCAGATCTAGCAGGCATGGTCTTACAAAATCAAGCTGATGGGTAACTTTCATTTTCTCCATTTCTCTTCTCTTTCTTTAGTCAAATTGATATATGATCTGTAGCGACCTTGATTTATATACGAATGATATTAGATAGACTAAATTTAGAAGGAAAATTAACGAAACGGACTTCAAAACTTTACATTTTAACAAAAAAATCATCTAATAATTTTATTTAATCATAAGAACAAAAAGATAAAAAAAAAAAAACATAAAATATAAACATGTGTTCCTAGCGCGTTAAGCTTTATAAACAGTGTATTAAGATTTATAAGCAGTGTAGTACTATTAAGTTTTATAAACAGTGTAGTACCATTAAGTTTAATAAACAGTATAATATCGTTAAGTTTAATAAACAGTATAATATCGTTAAGTTTCATAAACAGTGTAGTACCATTATGTTTCATAAACAGTATAGTGCCGTTAAATTTCATAAACAGTATAGTGCCGTTAAGTTTCATAAACAATGTAATAAGTTTCATAAACAGTATAATAAATTTCATAAACAGTGTAGTAAGTTTCATAAAATAGTAAGTGTGAGGACCGTCACTATTTTTTTTTTTAGTTTTTTTAATATTAAAATTATGTCTTTTTCATTAAAATTTAAGTTATTTTATTCTTTTTATTAAAGTTAAGGGTTTTTCATTAAAATTTGTATTTTTTTTCATTAAATAAAGTTATAGCATGGTTTTTGGATAAAATGAATTTAGCTTAAGCTCTTTTCATGAAAGTTCCCAAATTTAGAAACATAATTTGCAAAATAAATGATGTGTTAAACTGAGTACGTTTATCAACGTTTAAGTAATAAACTAATCATCAACTTTCATATTATTTAGTTTTTAAAATTTTATTTACAAATTTAGTTTACCTGAAATTTTCCTTTGTGTGTGTATATATATAATTCAATCTCAGTAGTGGATAATAATCCCAATTTAAAGAAATCACACTTGGCTCAACTTAAGGATTAGTCATTTTCCGTTTTAGTCTACTGGTCACTTCCCTTCAAGTTTTTAGGCTAATGTTAGGTAGACTAAATTCGTAAACTAAGTAATGTGTGACTAATAAAAAATAATCACGTTAATCAATAGTTAAGTGATAATCTATCACTAATTTATATGTCATTTAATTTACAAAATTTAGTCTACAAATTAAATTTTCTTAGCATTATCTATTTTTAAAAAGGTAATGGTAGAAAAATTAAATTTTTAGATAAAAAATGTAAATAATGTGTCACCAGCAAGAACGAGCATATTTATCAATGCTTAAGTAATAATTTATTAACTTTCATGTCAGCAAGTGTGAGAAAAAGTTGGGGAGGTAATCTATGCTGTATTTGTCTATAGTTGGTATAAATTCTACGCTGTACTCCCTTCTTTTCATTTTAATTTCGTCGGCAGTCCTTTTTTTTATTTTTCAAATAAAGACCATCAACGTATGTTTGATTTATTAATTATCTAAATTCCCCACTTCATTATTCATTCATCCAATACTTCCGTGAGACATGCTCTCACATTCATTCTAATTTAACTCATGTTATACTTACAAACATACTTGATTAGAACTCGAGTATTAATATTACACTTCAAAAATATACAACAACCACATCATGCAGAAAAGTTTACAATCCAAAAAAAAAAAAAGACAAACTTAGCAATGCACTGAGACATAGTGGTTCACTAAATACAGTCATGACACTTAATAAGCTCTAGTTTATACCTTCACGATCTGCTTCTGAAATTTATAAAATCGAATGGAAACAAAACAAAAATATAGGTGTGCTCTTAAAGCTCAGTAAGTGGGAGTAAGCATTTATTGAAACAAAAGATAACTGTATAACTCAGTTAAATTTCTCTTTTGCATAAAATCAAATTGAAGAACTATAGAACTTTGAATCATAGTATTAGCGAAACTAAAAGAAAGTTTTTGACATAGCAATACATGTTAAGAAAAAAAAAAAAACAAATCACACTATCACATCCCGGCCCGGGGCGGATCACTTCCCGGGCCCCGTCCACCATCGTAGCACGATATTGTCCGCTTTGGGCTTACCATTCCCTCACGGTTTTGTTTTTGGGAACTCACGAGCAACTTCCCAGTGGGTCACCCATCATGGGATTGCTCTAGCCCCCTTCTCGCTTAACTTCGGAGTTCCTACGGAACTCGAAGCCAGTGAGCTCCCAAAAGGCCTCGTGCTAGGTAGAGATGGAATATACATATAAGCATCAGTCCCCTGGGCGATGTGGGATGTCACACACACACTGCGATCCCTTCGCCACAAATGGATCATACAAAAATGAGCTAAGCTCAACCACAAATTCACTTGTCGGAACGAAAAACATATGCCCTACTCACGAACTAGAAGGGATAGAGGGACCCAAGACACAAAGCCTATACAAAAACTTTCAGATAAATACTTATAATCAAATGAGAAAAACTCCAAAATTAAAGTAGCATATCTCTCTCATTCATTTTTTTTATTTTTTTTATTTTTTACCTTTGCTCTTTCAAAAACCAGACCCTTAGCTTCCACCTCCTTCTAAAACTTCACTGCTGATCTCCAAAGCTTCACTCTCTCTCTCTCTCTAAGGAGGAGGTGGGCTTAGTTTCACAATAAGTTAGCAATAATGTGATTTAATTAGTTGTTTATTAAATATTATTTTATCTATTCTTAATGTAAATTCAATAGAGACCGATTTTATTATATTGATTTAGCTGCTTTAATTGGTTATTCATTTACTTCAAATATTTGACTTTCCTCAATTTACACATATAAATACATCTAAAACGTGTAATTTGAGCTTAACAGGCCGTTAAAAAAATGTCTTCTACACTCGCATGCATTAAGGCTAGTATATATAAAACCACCAAGGCCAATGGATGGTATTTTTTTGGTGTCACAAGCTTTATAAAAAAACATTTGGACAAAAATGCCCCTCAAACAAAAAAACTTCAATAGCAATCCAAAATAATGCATCAAATGTGGCAAGAGTATTTTCGTCATTTTAACAGTGTTTTTTTAATAGGTATCTCACAATATATTAGTGATAATGTAATTCAATCAGTTGTTCATTAAATATTATTTTCTCTATTTTTAAACATGTTCAAAACATCTTAAGAGTGGTGTAATGCTGGTTATAAAAAAAGTATTTTGCACGCGGATAATAATGTGATCAAATTAGTTGTCAAATTATTATTATTTTTTTAACAAACGATATTATCTACACTAAGGGGGAGGTGGTGGGCTTAGCCGCACAATGGCTAGCAATAATGTGATTCAATTAGTTGTTTATTAAATATTATTTTATCTATTCTTAATGTAATTCTATAGATGCCGATTTTATTATGTGGATTCAGCTGATTTAATTGATTTATGAGGGGTTTCTTCCAATATGATCTAAGATTATTCATTTACTTCAAACATTTGACTTTCCTTTTGTCAATTTACGCATATAAATACATTTAAAACATATAAGTCGTGTGTAGCACGCCGTGATTCAAAAAATACATTTTGCACGCGTGTGAGCGTGTGCATAAAGGCTAGTCTATCTTAAAGCCACCTGTCCCCTTCTAACCCAAAATGTTGTCAGCTTCCCTGAAGTGAAACCTTAATTGGGCAGCTCTGCTCCGCTAAAAACTTAATAATTGTTTAGGTGTAATAACCACAAGTGCTAAATTACTTAACAAAACACATATAACGTACCAGATACTAGGGAGAAAACATCTACCACTTTCCAATTAAAAATAAATAAATAAATAAAATAAAAAATAAAACCTAGTCACATTAAGATGGTTTATTACACATGAAAGGTTTGATTTATTTTTTATGTTGTTTGCAAATTATTAGGTACGAATCAAAGTTTATCAAGAAAATTGTTAAAGTGATTGGAGACAAGTTAAGTCGCACACTATTGAGTGTTGAACCAAAATTGATTGGAATCCAATTTCAAGTTGAACGCATCAATTTGTGGTTACAAGATGGATCAAGTGATATTGGTATACTTCTTGTGTATGGCATGTCTGGAGTAGGGAAGACAACCATTGCAAAACATGTTTACAATTCAAATTTTAGAAGCTTTAAAGGAAGTAGTTTCATTGAAAATATCAAAGAAAGAGCAGATCGACCAAATGGCTTAGTTCAAATACAAATGCAACTTCTTTCTGATATTTTGATCGGTAGAAAAGTGAAAATACAAACTGTTAGTGAGGGAATAATTAAGATTGAAAGCGCCATAAGCTCTAGAAAAGTTCTACTTGTCCTTGATGATGTGGACCATATGGACCAATTAGATGCAGTACTAAAAATGAAAGATCGGTTTTATCCCGGAAGTAAGATACTTATAACAACTAGGCGTGAAAGATTGCTAAGAGCACATCAAGTTACAAAGGTGTACAAAGTTGAAACTTTGAATTACAATGAATCACTAGAGCTTTTCAGTTGGCATGCATTTGGCCAGAACCGTCCCACAGAAAATTACATGGAGCATTCAAAAATGGTAGTGCAATATAGCGGCGGACTTCCATTAGCTCTAAAAGTTTTGGGTTCTTCTTTATCAGGGGAAAGTATAGATGTATGGGAAAGTGCATTGGAGAAGCTAAAAGTTATCCCCAATGGTGAAATCATGAATAAACTAAGAATAAGTTATGACAATTTACAAGATGACCATGACCAGAAATTATTCCTCCACATTGCTTGTTTCCTAATAGGAAGGGACAAAAACTACATTGTTAGAATACTCGATGGATGTGATTTCTGCACAATTGTTGGCATTCAAAATCTCATTGATAGATGCTTGGTAACAATTGATGGATACAACAACATGCAAATGCATGACATGATCCGTGACATGGGAAGAGAAATTGTTCGCCATGAATCAGAAGAGTCTGGAAAACGTAGTAGATTATGGCGCCATAAGGATTCTTTCGAAGTACTGAGGGAAAAGAATGTAAGAAACATGCCTTTTATGTCTATATATGTATTTCTCCTTGTGAAAATTATCCATAATAATGTTATAACTTTTTCTTTGCTTTTCTGTTAGGGTACACAAACAATTCAAGGTCTTGCCCTGGATATGCATATGCATCTTGCAAACAGACCAATAAACACAAATGAGACCGTCTTGGAAACCAATGCATTTGAAAGGATGCGCAATTTACAACTACTCCATCTTAGTCATGTAAGACTGCATGGATGTTATGCAGATTTCCCTACAAGATTAAGATGGTTGTGTTGGCTTCAATTTCCATTGGATTCTATACCTGTTGATCTTCCTTTGGAGTGTCTAATTGTTCTTGAAATGCAACATAGTAGCTTAAGACAAGTCTGGAAGGGAACAAAAGTATGTTACTCTACGCATTTCAATTCATTTTCCTTATTTTGTTAGTTTTTTATTTGTTGACTAACTCCATGTGTTAAAATGAACTCCTATGTTTTCTTTAATTCGATGACTAATTTCTTATGTTAGATACTTATTTCATTGTTTTTTTTCTTTTTCTTTTTTCCTTTGTTTCCACAGTTTCTTCCATCGTTGAAGATCCTTGATGTCAGCCATTCCCATTCCCTCATTGAAATCATGGACTTCACACTTTGCCCTAGTCTAGAAGAATTGATTCTTGTTGATTGCACCAGCCTGATTGATGTTCATGAGTCCATTGGAAACCTGGAGAGACTCGTGTACTTGAATACGAAGGATTGCAAGAATCTTAGGATGCTTCCGAAGAACATGTGCATGCTTAAATCACTTGAAAAACTCATTTTATCTGGCTGCTCAAATCTTGAAGAGCTTCCAGTGGAGATGATGAAGAAGATGGTGTCTCTGAAAGTACTTGAAATAGATGGAATTCCAATAAGTGAATTGTGGCCAGAAAGAAGTTCAACTATCTTGAGTTCTTTTCCATGCTCTTTACTAGAGTTAAGTCTCAAGGGGTGCAATCTTTCTGATGATGCCTTTTGTAGGGATTTAAGTAGTCTATCCTCGTTGCGAAGACTAACATTAGATGAGAATCCAATTTGCAGTCTGCCAAGTTTCATCAAAGGTTTGAGGAGGCTCGATAAACTGTCTTTCGAGTATTGTAATAGACTCGAATCGCTTGTGGGGTTGCCGAAAGTACACGAAAGCATGAATGTATCCGGATGCACATCATTGAAAAAAGTAACATATCAATCGTTTAGAGCGTTCCCTCTACAGATCCTTGGGGAACACATCGACAAAATAGTTGAGTGGGAGTACCTTTTCAAGTTAGAGCCTATTGAAAATGTTGATGCGGAAATGATCAAACTTTTGGGATTGTGCAACTTGGGATCCATGCCTGCAATTCGAATGGACAGCCTATATTATCCCTTGAATACAGAAGAGGATAGATGGAGTCTTGTCCAGGTGCGCTCTCTCTCTCTCTCTCTCTCTCTCTCTCTCTCTCTCTCTCTCTCTCTCATAAGTCATATATATAGTGGGAAATAAATGACTTAGTAATGTTGTGTTGATCATGGAAAATGCATAGGGACTGTATCAATATGGTATATTCAGCACATTTTTTGTTGGGAATGAGGTTCCAGGCCGGTTCAGCTATAAAAGTACCAAGTCCTCCATATCTTTTAGTGTCCCTTTACTCCCTTCTAGTCACAGAATCCGAGGCTTGAACATCTTTGCTACCTATAATGATGATGCAAACAAGGAGAATTCTAATAATGATTATTTGTTTTCAAATATAATCAAAGTGAGTAACGAGAGCAAGGGTCTGAAGTGGATCTATAGCCCAGCATTCTTTGGTATCCCAGGTGACGGAGAAGATATGATATGGTTGAGCCATTGGAAGATGGAGAACGAAATAATATTACAATGTGGAGATCAAGTGGTGGTTTCAGTAATGGCCGGACCAGATAAGTTGTTTCGGATAAAGGAGTTTGGTGTCGAGCTTATGCAAGAGCACCAGAATAATATGATGATAAGTACCCAACACAACACCAAATCAGATCCTCATTCTCCATGTGTCATCGGTGGAGATTTGTCCTTATGGGAGCATATACCAGGAATATACTGCCTTGGTTTCGATGGCGAAATTGTTGAAGAGAGATGGTTTAATCGCCTCATCATGGACACTGACGAAGAAGACACAGGTATGTTGTGTTGTATTGCAATGAATTATACTCTATCCAAATACTTACAAGTCCGTCTGTATTCAATTCAAAAACATAAATATTATGTTATTTGTATGTTTTTCAGACAAAGAAGGGCAAGAGGATGAACTTGATTACACAATTGCAAGGACAAGGGCTGCCAGTAACAACTGTGGCCTCAGAGGCTGGAAGGTGCTCGTCACAGCTGCCGGATTATTTTTCACGCTTGCTCTAGTAGTTCGGTCCTCCATCTCCCAGAAAAAGAAGCAACACTAGTCCACAAGCCATCCATGAGTTTGTAATTTTATTTGATACAGACATCTTTGGGTTCCCTCCTAGTTTTCAAGTTGTTTTCTGCCTTCAAAATATTGAAGTTTCCAGATGTGTTCAACATCATCAACTATCGCATAAATATAGCATAAAATACATCCAGCATACAATCCCGTACTAGAGAAGATAAACAGATGGTTGTATACTAGCAGTAAATAATTGAAAAAAAAAAGATTCTAAACATACAAGGGAAGGACTTTGACATAGGTATCATTAGCAATACCAGGCACGAATCAATTCTTCGAATTGGGGGGAAATATTTCGGCATCGAGGAAAGCAAAAACATCCTATCTGCTTATAAATGTCAAATTTACAGATCTTAATTATCAGTTACAACAAAATCATACTTCTTAAAGACTCGGCTCCCATTGAAAAATTGTGTAAATTACATAAATATCGGTGCAACAGATAATAGATTGAATAATATATCAAATAAATTAACAGCAGACAATTTCTTAGCCTGAGATTCAAGGACTATACAGCTGATTCAGCCTTGCATCGCTACTACACTACGGAAGCTGGTTTCTGCTTCTTCAACCCGAACAAATTATTGAGGTCCGGAAGCATAGGAGCAACGACCATGGTCTCTGGAGCCATGAAATTTACTATCTTCTCATAAACATTATACCTGCAAAAGCATAATGCAATAAGCCTTAAACAATCTAGCCTAGTTTGCTCAACATATGCTCCAAGATATTCCAAAACAAAATCACAGCAGTTTCACATAGGGAACCAAAGAATCTATTGATACCTTATCTTGCGACTATTAGAGGCTCTTCTGTCAACAATCTTCCTCTTCTTACCATGCAACTTTTTCAAGGAATAAAATGATGTCTCTGCGAATAATCAAATAGTGCAAAATCAGAATCAATAAACAAAAGAAGTTCAGGATCAATTAGGTTGTGATTGTTAGCAGGAATAACTGCTAGCTTGTTTCATTTTTGAAGTTACAAAAATATAAAAAATTGAAGAATAGAAGTTCGGGACCGATTAGGTTCCAAGCCCACTATAAGCAGAGACAATACTATGTCATTGACTTCAATAGCTGCAGATGCAGATTGTTTGAACGAAACTTTTCTCATGGCTCAGACTTAGTTACTTAAAGTTGGTTAGATGAGTCCAAATTGTTTGAAAATCATGTTCATCCACTCTGTATATAACTTGGGAGGATACAATCCTTAACAATTTCAAAAGCCACACTTTTTATATGCAATCTGATTGCATGTGTTTTGAACTACAGGAAATCTTATAGATTGGGTAAACCGTATCATATATCAAATTCAAATGCAATCATTCATATATGAAGTATGAGATGCCCTAATAGTTTTACCAGAAGTTGCTGGGTCAATTGTATCAAAAAATTCTTTCAGTAATTGTTGGCAAAAATCAGAGTCACCCGAAAGTTCGAGGTCACCATCAGCTTGTGCACAGCATCAGATTGTGTCTCCTATCAGAGTGAAGGAATGAATGTACTTAATTTCTGCAAATAGAAATATAACTTTTATAACACATAAAAGATAATTAAAGCAGACCTTACAGGCTATACATCAAAGTGGAAAATGAATCAAAATTTTAAACATAAAGATAGAATAAAAGCTAATGGCGCATGAAGAGTATTGTAACCATCACAGCCCTCACACATGGGTTGCATGATCATTTCTTAAAGCAATAAAAGGAACAAATTCATCAAGTCACACTGGGGCCATCCAAAAAGAAAAACGAAGCAAAGTACCAAACACCACAAACAACCCGCATTTGTTCAAACATAGTATCAAATTAATTATAAACTGCATCCATCCCAAACGATGAATTTGTACCTCATTTGGGAGTTAAAAACTTCAAATAGCACATGGAAAAAATGTAAATTCTATGGACATTCGACTCCAATGAATTTACAGATGGATTCTTAGATTAGTATAGGATTATAGTTAACCACAATTATATGCAATCAGTACCTCTCCCTTTGCAGTGTTGTACCCCTCAGGGACCTACACATCCACAACTTATGTTTAAGTTACTAAATGTACAAAACTTAAGAAAAACCCATCTTGTTATGATGTTACAATTATGAAGCACAAATGAGCATGCACGTGGGGGTTAATATCTTACAGTACCCAATACAGCAACTGCTGATTTCCTCATCTACATCTGCCTACCTCTGCCATTTGTCTATCGATTTGAATCCGAAAGTAGCTATTCTACAAGACACAATGTGACAGGTCTTGGTTGGACCAAGTAACCCGCATAGAAATGCACACAATAATGAAAAGTTGATCATAGTAGAACAAATTTCTAAAATTCATGCAAGAGAAGTTGTCGGAGCATGAAAGAATTCATAGCAGAACTGCCCAAGAGTATGCTTAAAGTAAACATATGGCAACATAGATTTTTTACAAGTATAATATACAAATGCATTTCATGGTTCTTTGCCGGCCCTTTAGATAGCAAACTAATTTAATTAGTGCCTAACGGAATTTGACTTCAGAAAACCATCGTCTGGTACATGTCATATTGAACAGTTGACAAACTTAATAACATAATATCCTCATTTATTAACTGATAAGAACTATGTATTAAAATATAAGAAAAGTTAGACACTAAGGTATTGAAATACAGCAATAATAGTAAGGTACTTGAATCCACACATTTACGAGCATTTTAACAATAAAACAACAAAATTCCGAAGTTCTTTTTTGCTGCTCCAAATGGATCGGTGAAGTATGGCATGAAGAAGGAAAAAAAATTCAGTTTTATAGGTAGACTTCAATACAATAAGAGCATATGTAGATAGTAGAATATGATTCTTCTTCTCAGAATATCTAATTATGATCTGAGTACCTCGACAGCAACTCAGAAATCTGTGACCAATCCTCATCACCATCAATGTTCTTAGATGACTGTGACATCCTAGATCATCCAGATTTACCTACAGAACAGGATATGTATTAGGAGACGCAATACATGAACATATGCAGTATGAAGTTAATGAAAATGCAAACAGTACAAAGTAGGACATTCAATTAGACCATGGTAGCCCAAAAGCCAATTTTTTCGCTAAATCAGGCTAAGGTTTATATGAGATCAAGCAGGAAAGATTTGTGCCCACATCCTAGGGCAATTTGAAATCTGGCTTCATCTTGGTTATCCTCAGATCAACAAAACAAGGCCCAACCGATTTACCTTCCCTGCCAACATTATGCTTTTGACAACTGCAACAAATACCTTCCTCTAGAGTGGTAATTTAATTGATGTTTCTGTAATCCCAAAGTGTCTAATGTTTGTCGAAAACAACTGTATTTCTGACCAATTGGACTACTTGGAACTTCCCACCTATTATGCGCAAACCATCACCTATTAGGACTGGCGTAACCTCAATGGGAACTTAGCACAAACTTCACTACAATTCAGCAGACCAAGAACTGGTGTACCAAGATTTATGTGGGATAAGCTTGGGCAAGGCTGAGCTCAATCCATTCTTCTTGATTAACAATCTTACACTCTTAATGATAACTTAGTACCAGCATAATCTGACTAATTATAGTAACTATTGTAGTGGAACTTTTGAAATTTGGGGAACCCTCACAATCATATGAAATCGAGGAAACTTGAAGCATTTCCTTAAAGTTTGATTTGATGAAATTAAACTCTATCTCAGCTAATAGTACAGTTGTAAGCTAAACACACTTTATGAGAATTTAAACGGTTATTAAAAACTTCAAACACAAAATGTAATACACAAAGCATATCTACAAATCTTTCACATATTGGCAATTCTTATCGTGCGGAAAATGATAGATTATGCACAACAATGGAAAGCCAAATTGTATTACAAAATAACTATAATAGTTTGATAAATGTCGTTTGCACACACCATCTGTTGCTTGAACAAAGGACGGGTTCTTCTCAAGTAAAGCCTGTAGTTTGCACACACTAACTAGGTCAGAATACGTTGCATTGACACCCTCATGTGAATCACAAAATAAAGGCCTAATTGGCTCGTGCAGACAACCTCTCAGGTAAGAACATAAATCTTAACATGTCACAAATCTAAAAAAAGGGGGAAAAGCAAAAGCAACCTGTGGCAATCCATGATTCTATGTGAACTTGAGAATGCTTTCTGAAGCAAGAATCTGAACTCAAGAGCCTTGTCCCACAGAGCCTTCAGAAAAATGAAAACAAAAGGCATAGAAAATGGGTAAGAATAAACATCGATCAGACAATAATTCACTACATAAATCATTTTTTTCAACTTTAAGGATTGGCATAAAAAGAAGCTTTAAACAAGGAGCAATAATTTGATGTTGAAAAACAAAACCTATTTCATGGATATTACAAGAGTTATTATTTTGAACAACGCACCTTTTCACTGCTTGACCCTTAAGAAGATCTTTCTTTAAAATATCACTACATGGGAAGAGAGAATAAACGAAGAACAAAATTAACTTCATATGTCAGCCTATATAACTCCATTTTGTGCTAAGATGAAAATTAGCCTTGAGCTAAGATGAAAATGGCACTAGTGTTCAATTCCTATAGCTGCAACTGCTAAGCATATTATCTCCTATAGTCACATTATATAACTCCATTTTGTGCTTTCTTAGTAACAAAATTAATTTACATTATTCAATGACTTCTGTAAACTAATATCAAATTTCGTCACCAACCTGCAACTGCTATGCATATTATCTCCTATAGTCACATTATTTAGCTCTATGTCTTCATTCTAATGAAGCATCACAAGTTTATAATTAAAAATAAAAGGATTTGTGAACAGAAGTCTCTTACTGCTCCTGATGACGAAGATTCATGTATTCTTTCTCGAGTTCTTCCATCTCGGCATCTTTATTAACGTTTTTCCCATCATCATTTTCCTCTTCCCCAACTTCTTCTCCATCTTCTTCCTCATTTTCTGATTCTTCTTCCTCCTCCTCACCGTCGTGTTCACCATCAAAGTCATCCTCTTCCTGCTCCATGTACATCACAAATCATCAATTAACAACAAAATCACCACAACAAACTGAATAATTACCGAAACCCAATAACAGAATTTACAAATCAAACTAACATTCAACTCATTGCTGTTGACATCGCCATCGTCCCCAAACCCACTGTCACTGTCAAGAGCCTTCATCTCCATTATGACGTATGAGCCCCTACAAATTCAAACACCCAAATATTATAGAATTTAATTCCACAAGGATTTAAGCTTTCATACAACTTCATTTCAAATATCCAAACCAATTTACGAATCCCAAACCTTTTGAAGCTGCAAGGAGGAAAAAGACGACGAGAGTTGAGAGAGGCACAAAGGAGTCCGTCAAGAAGCTGCAGAGTTTGGGTTTTGGAGCCGTTTCTTAAACCCAAACCCGTCTTCTAAAACAAGTCCCAAAATCTGTCGATTATTTTCCCCTTCCTAGACCAAAAAACTTTGGGCCCTTAAATAAGCCTCATAGGCTAGTTAGGCCAATATTAGATTGAGCCAAGTCCGTCTCATTTGATTAGTACTTTGTTGTGCATTCTACGAGAACAACTTATTTACTACAATCTAGTGTCATTTCTTTTTATTTGTAAATGATAGATTTTAGGTTTGACTCACGTAAATGACTAACTCAATATTAAATCATGATGTTTGGCTCATTGTACGGCTAGCTCGAACTTCATACCTATCAAAGAAATGATAAAGACTTGCCGAAAATAGGAGTGATAGATTGTCGGATGTATCCCAAGCCAATTTTATAACAATTTCCCTCCAATCTCTCAACTATGGCTAGATGTCTTTTATTTGTGGATTTGGAATACAATTGACCTAGTACGCTTGTTTCATATTAATCTTTCTTGCATTCAACACACAACATCATAGTTTTCATAAAGTGAGCACCACATATAGGGGTTGTAGACATGCTCGAAATAATTTGAATTAAGCTCAGCTTTTTAGTGAAATGAGTTGAGCTAAAAAAATTGCTAGACTCATTAGTCAACATGGAGTTTTGGTATTTTCAGCTCATAAAGCTAGTGAACAGCTCATATCTTTCATGAGATAGCTCATATCTTTCACTAGAATTCTTTATATAGGACTGACTGGGCTCCTATTTTAAATTACAGGTCAATCCCCAATTTTATGCATTTAAGTGGATCACCCTCATCTTAACCCAGGAGTTCAATTTCGCTGACAGCCTTCACACTTGGGATACACTTCAAGTGATCTGAGGGTCCTCAGGTAGTACTATATCCTTTTGGATTGTATAGACCGTCTGTTTTCAAGGCATGAAATGAAAAAAAATTTGGCTTTTGGTTTTTGCCTCCTAAATTATCTGAGCGATTGATTACAATAATGTGTGTAGTACATAGTATTTCTAAGCCCGAGGACTAAATTATTAATGTATACAAATTTTCTTATAAGAAAACTTTCTACATGTTTTCTCACTCTTCTTAGTTTATGATTGAATTTTATACTCCTTTCATTCATTAATTTATGAAATGGGTTGTTTTTCTTTTGTGATTTCAGTAGTTAGGTCTTCAGTGACTGCACAATTTCATGTTTTTCACTATCTCAGAAATAATTGATAGAGTTGGATGTGATTCGCGCAAGTTTGCAGATATCCGTTTTGTTTTGATTCGGGCACCTTCTACCAGACTGTATAGAACATAAAAAAATTATTTGATTGCGCTGTTATGTATTTCTTTTTTTATTTTTATGGCAGTATCATTTTCTCAACAAAATAGAAATTACTTAAATAAATAAACTACTCAAGCAATGAATCTTCAATGAGAACTCCATATTTTCTCAGGTTGGACAAAACCAGCATGTGTTTCTTCACAAAATTTACATGCCCATCTCTTAGATGGACATAAAGAACATCAATTGTGTGTCTCTTACTTTTTTTTGTTATGATTTTTGATACCGTAATGAGTTTTTTTTCTCATAATGCATATGAAGACCTTTGACTCTGTTGGTTCTATGTTTGAAGCCAGAAAAACTCATATGTTGCTTTTGCAGTTTGATTAGTAGTTGTTAATTAGAAGTGGGTAATTCTTTTACTAAGAATTTGTTTTTACTCACTCTATTGGTTCTTCTTCATATAAGTATATAGAAATTGCATCATCAGACTAATTAGAATCAGTCAGCTTATGGGTGTGTCAACATGTTTAAGTAGTAGTACTTAAAACTCAAAATATGCTGGAGTATTTCTGTCATTAATTTGTATTGAACTCGGTATTTCATAAGAGTTGAACATGAGAGCTTTGTGGAAAGGAATAAAACTAGACCATACCATTTTATATATGTTTGATTACATTGCTTATAATTAGTAATAATTACGTTTTATTCACATTGTAGCTCTCATGGAGTCCCCTGCTCAAACATGTGTCAAGCCGAATAACAATGGACTGCAGATATCAAACAATGTGGCTCACAAAATTAAGCAGGAGATTTAGGATGGTCAGTTTGTGGATACACCGCATTTAATTTTCAAATTAATTTACTAATTGTTTGTGAATGAATTCAATTAGAATTCACATTTCTGATTTTTTTTTTTTTTAATTCACTGGATTATTAAACCGTGTCATTATAACATAATCTCAGCTAATATGACATCAATATATTTGCCTAATTTTAGGAATGGGAAGTGATTCTGGTGAACGAAGCTCTGGAAGTTCAAGTTTGTACTTCTGATTCTCATAAGCTAGATGGATGGAGATAATCAGCAGAAACTTATTCACTGTCATACAAGGTATACTTAGAATCAAAATCTCTTTTGTTATGCATTGGAAAGTGTTTCTGTTTTATGGGGCCACAGCTTAACTTACAGATAACGCAGTGGTTCATCTAATAATATCATGTGTTGTGATTGTTTTTATTTCAATCAATTTGACTGCCCCTTTTAACCCTTGAATAAGCTATGCTCAATTGAATGTATATAAAAGTCAAACTGCTTATCTTATCGATCTCATTCACTCATGTGTCCCTTTGTTCATTCATGATAGTTGGTTCCTGCTGCAACGCATTGGCTTATTATCTAGTGGTCTTCTAAAACAAGTCCCAAAATATGTCGATTATTTTCCCCTTCCTAGACCAAAAAACATTGGGGCCTTAAATAAGCTTCATGGGTCAGTTAGGCCAATATTAGATTGAGCCAAGCCTGTCTCATTTGATTAGTACTTTGTTGCGCATTCCATGAGAGTGATTTATCTCATATGTTCCTATAGATAAACACAAATATATATATATACACAGAAATATGCAACAAGAAAATATGCAAATAGAACTTCATGTCTATAATTATAATTGAATTAATTATTTAGATTTCGGGCCAAAATTAAAGTGTGGGTAAAAAAAATATAAAACCCAAATTGTCTAAAAATAAATAAACAATTAAACCTCAGGGCCCAAACTATGGGTCAAAGCCCACGGGTGGGCTTAAAAAATAGGTGTTGAGGGGTCCAGGTCCAATCTGGGCTGGAAATAAGTCGGGTCGAGTTAGGGCAATAAGCCTATATGCACAGAGCTGGGCTGCAGACGCAAGCCCAGATGGCAAAGTCTCAACGAGGGGCGCCAATCGTGTGCATCGCGTACACTGGTGCACCAGCACAGAGGTTGGGATCAAGTGTGGCGTGGTGCAGGGAAGGCACAATAGCCACTAGGGGCTAGGTTCCGTTGCAGCGCAGGTCACGAGGGAACACCATAGCCCATTGGGCTTGTGTGATGCAGCGCTAAGCAGCAGCAGGTGAGCCCAGTGAAAACAAAGCTGCGGGTCGAATGGAGAGGTCAAGATGGGCTTGCAGTGGCGAGCCCAAAAAAAACTTTCTTTGTTTTTTGTTTCAGCTCGAGTAGAGGCTGGGCCCAAAAACTTGGGTTGGGCTTGAACCAAGAAATCCTAGCGAGGCTAGGTGATTCCGCTAGAGAAGATGACCCGCGCCGTCACTGCAGGTGGCCAAATCTTGGACGGAAAGACTCGGGGGCACCCTGCTGGGGTGTTTTTGACTATGATTACAAATAAAGATATTAAAATCTCAACTTTTCAACCAAAAAACCCTAGAAAATAAAATCGGGATTTCGAAAAATCCGATGAGATTCGAAGGAATCTCAACCAATTGATGTCGGTGGACGATCTTTAGGTCGTCAAGAGGTAGCCACAGTGGCTGGGCATGGCTACAGGCCATGGTTCATGACAGTTCGAAGGGTCGATACCTTGTAGGCATTGGGTTTAAAGTTGGGCCTGGAGCTTTGGGCTCCATGGTTGGTGTTCGCAGCTCAACTCGGGGAAGGAAGCCCAAAACTGGGTTGGGTTTCAATCGAAACCCTAAAATGATTTCTTTATATTTTTTTTTTTCCAATTCCATATATAATTCAACATATATAATTTAATGCAATTCATGGCAATATCAATTCATATAATTCAACAATTATGAATATAATGCAAACGCAATTTTTGTAGAATCTAAAATTCGAAAAACCTAAAGTTAGGTCATGCAATATGGTAAATGTTCATGCTATCATGCTGCAAAAATATCAAGATAAAAACCATTGTTTTGGAAGAACCTGATTGCGTGATGATATTGATGAAATGATTTGATGCAGAAAACTTCAACGTCAGACACTCCTTGACCCTATACAAATACATTGAATTAACTCGATCTTCAATTTAAAATATTTACACTAGTCAATACCACAAAATCTTATGTTATACTTAATGAAAGTATGAATAAACTTTTAAGTGTTAGTGAATCTATTGTTTTGATGGGATACACATTCTGCAAAACTAATTTTAACGATTCAATCGTCAAACATATTTGTATATACTTCGAGATCGCATACGCCAAAAATTGCAAAAAACAAACATTCAGAGCTCAAGTAACGAGACAAAACTTTTTGACGGTTATCAACGAAAAATCACGATTTAACGATTGGTTTAACTCCGACTTTGATGATTTTTTACAGCTACACTCCTTGACCCTATATGAATACAATGAATGAACTCGATCTTCAATTTAAAATATTTACACCAGAGGATACCACAAAATCTTATGTTATACTTAATGAAAGTATGAATAAACTCTTTAGTGTTAGTGAATCTATTGTTTTAATGGGATACACATTCTACGAAACTAGTTTTAACGATCCAACCGTCAAACATGTTTGTATGTACTTCGAGATTGCATACGCCAAAAATTGTAAAAAACAAACATTCAAAGATAAAGTAATGGGACAAAACTTTTTTACGATTATCAACAAAACATCACGATTTAACAATTATTTTAACTCTGATTTTGATGATTTTTTTACAGCTACACTCCTTGACTCTATATGAATACA